AGGTTCTTGAATTCTGTTAAAGACCAACTTTAACTCTTTAGTTGTGTGCAAGTATCGAATGACTTTCTTGACAGCATTCCAATCTGTGTTCCGAGGTTTTTCATTTCTTCTACTCAGTAGATTGATCGCACATGCTATATCTGGTCTGCTGATTGTTGCAATATATAATAATGCCCCTACTGCTTGTCTATATTCTGTATTATTCTCTAGAAGATCATCTTCAGCTTCTAGTTTGCAGTAATTTGTTTTCATTGGCGTATATGTTGGTTTTTCGTTCTGAAGTCCAAACTTTTGAACTATTTCTTCAATTTTTATTCTTTTGGTTTATGGCAAAAAGTTCCATCCTTTCAAATCTTTCAGTGTTTATGCCGAGGTAGTAGGTGACTTCTCTCCTAGGTTTTTGATTTCGAATTTAAGCGTTTCAATTGTTGGATTGTTTTCCATTACATCTTCTTCTCTTTCCACTTCCTACAAGCATATCATCTACATATAATATTATATACGTGAATTTTCCATTGATGGTTTTTGAAAAACAAGCATGGGTCTGCTTTACTTTCGTTTAAATGACATGTTTAGAAGTATTTTTCCAAGTTTTCAGATTCCAAGCTCTACGCAGCTTCTTTTAAACCATATATAGATTTCTTCAGCTTGCAAACTTTATTTTTATTTCCAGCTTTTGAGTATCCTTTGGGTTGAGTCATGTAAATTTCTTCTTCTAGTTCTCCATGAAGGAAAGCTGTTTTGACATCGATATGTCTGACAGACATGTTTTTATATGAAGCTGCACACAGGAAGGCTCGTAGCGTTGTGTATTTTACTACAGGAGCAAAGGTTTCATCATAGTCAGATCCAAACTTCTGGCTAAATCCTTTTGCGACTAATCTGGCTTTGTATCTTTCAATTTTTCTTTCTGCATTGAGCTTTGTCTTGAAAGACCATTTGCATCCTATTGGTTTTCTTCCTTTTGGTAAATCAACTAATTCCCAAGTGTTGTTTTCTTCTAGTGAATTAATTTCTTCTCGAACAGCTGTTAGCCATTTTCTTTTTTCATTTTCTTCCAAACTTTGAATTTCCTTCCAAGTTTTAGGTTCGGAGGAGATTGGATATTTGGCATGGAATCCGTAGCGATCAGGAGGTTTACCTTTTGTGAGTCTGTTCAATCTTCTGAGTTCCAAAGGTTCTTCTTTGTGTTCTGATATTTCTTCTTCTTCGGGTTCTTCTATTTTTATTTCTTTCCATTCTGAGCTTTCTTCCTTAGGATTTTCTTCATCCTGGTTTAAATAGATGCTTACAGGCTTCTCAGTTCCGGTGTTTTCAATAAATCGTACAGATCGACTTATTATAATTTTGTCTCCAGGAATTAAAATTCTGTAGCCTTTACTTCTGCTGTCGTAGCCGACGAGTATTCCTTCTATAGCAGTATCATCCAATTTACCTCTTTTAGATTTATGGATGTAAAGCAAAAGCCTTGCACCCGAAAGTCCTCAGATGAGAGAGGTTGGGTTTCTTGTTATTCCATAATTCGTATGGAGTTTTTGCATTTGGTTTTGTAGGCATATGCTTCTGTAAATAATGCAGTCAGCATGCTTCGGCCCAATATCTGTGAGGTTGACCTAGGTCAGCTAAAAGACATCTTGTCATCTCCATCAAAAAATTATGCGCCAAATCTGGCACTCCCTACGGACTTTTTAGGGTTGCTGTTTCTTATTTTGGTGTTGCCAATTTAGGTTTTTTTCAGCTTTTAGGTTTTTGCTGTTGCCAAATTTAGTATTTTCTTGTATTTTGTACCATTTTTTTAAAGTTTTGCGGCAACAATTTTTGGATTTCATATATGTTTTACCGCCATTTCATTCATTCGCCATTTCTTTGTGAAGTGATCAAGCGGATTTCTGACTTGCTGTATTTTGCTGCAAATCTGGTTGTATTTTTCAATTATATTTTTTTTCTATTAATTACTTTTATCTTTTAACTTTCAATATGCCTACTGTATATAGTGTTGTTGAAAAGTTTCAGGGAATTTCGAGTCGGAAAATTGATAGTTGTGCTTCATTTTCGTCGGGTAGGCCGACAGTTGGAAGGCCAGGTATTGTTAATTGTTTATTTTTGCATCATTTGGCTCAGGATATGCAAATGTTAATTGATTTTTTTATGGAGGTTGGATTGTTGAAGGCTGCAGTGTGTAAGAAATGTGAGTCTGGTATGAAACAGAAGTTGAAGAAGTCGTATTCGGATGGATTTGTGTATGTTTGTCGCAAAATGGTAGGTGGTAATCAGTGCCACACTGAAATGTCGATAAGGCATAATTCTTGGTTTTCGAAGTCTAAGCTTAAGTTGTTCAAGGTTTTGTTGATCATGTATGAGATTTTGAGAGGCACTAAGACAGGTAGGATTGCAGAGGAGTATGGTTTCTCTAGTACTACTTCAGCTGATTGGAGGCAATTCATTAGACCATTTTGAATTATATTGAGGAGAATTCTGAGAAGGTAGGTGGTGATGGTGTTGTTGTGGAAATAGATGAGTCAAAGTTTGACAAAAGGAAGTACAATAGGGGTCATAGTGTTGAAGGTCAGTGGGTTTTTGGTGGTGTTGAAAGGGGATCAGGTAAGGTTTTTTTAGTTGCTGTGCATGATAGGTCTCAGGAGACGTTGTTGTCAGTAATTAAGGAATGGATTAAGCCAGGTACGTCTGTTTATTCTGATTGTTGGAAAAGTTATGATTGTTTGACGGATGAGGGTTTTGAGCATTTAAAGGTAAATCATTCTTTAACATTTGTAGACCCCGATTCCGGGTGTCATACAAATACAACTGAAAGTATGTGGAGGCGTGTTAAAGCTTCTTTGCCTATGTACAATCACAAGGCAGATTATAAATTTTACCTTGCGATGTACATGTTTCGTAAATCACGTTTAGTGGCTAATGTTGATTGTTTCAATAAATTTATTGAAATTGCTGCTGGGGTAAACTGGGAGGAATTCAAAATTTCTGTATGAATAATTCTTTTTATTAGATTGCCGACACGTATTTTCAATTGTATTTGTTGAAATTTTTGTGTAAATTGTATATAATATGTTATTCAGTGTCATTTATTTGTATTTTTTATGTATTCATTGCATTTTTTAGGTATTTTTAGGTTTTTTTTTTTTTTTTTTTGTATTTAATGATTCCGTATTTTTTATGTATTAATTATTTGTATTTAGCGAGAATTCATCTTGGCGAGGGAAAAAAGTCGCCAAATTTCCGATTTGGGAGGTATATCAAAGTAGTTCCTTTTTTTTTAGTTAGTTTATTTTGCTGATTACTGCATAGTGCCTAGATTGTGCAATTCGTATATGTTCTTTAAAGTTGAAACAGAACACTGTGTACATGGTATTCTTTCAAATTTATTGTTGGCATGTTAATTTATTAAACCGAGGTGTGCATAATTCGTAGATACGTTCATAGCTTAGATTGTGCCATTTGTAGATTTTTTTAAAGCTAAAACATATCGCTGTGTACATGGATTCTTGTCAAATATTTTTGGTTAGAAACTTTACATTTTTGCTAGCTAAGTTTTTTGTTTCGGATTTTTAGCTTAAATTGTGTGTTCAAAACGTGGTTTTTGCGTGTGCGAAAACCGCGTTTTTGGACACATTTTAGGCTTAAAGTTCAAAGTGCAGACAAAAAAAATAGATAGTAATATGGCAGCATGGAGTTTCTCGCCAAAAATGTTTGGAGAGAAATTTGGCGACTTGAGGGTGTATATCAGAGTATTTCCATAATTTCTTCGAAAGACTCAAAAATTCTTCTCATGATACGATTTGAATTTTTTCTAATTATGATCCTTAAGTTTTGCAAAATTTTAAACAACCCAAATCCATATTTCATAATGTAAATTGGTGATTTCTTCATTTAAAGATAATCCAATCTTAGCAACCTTTTCGGCCAAAGTGCAGAATTGCCCACTTTTTTTGATTGGCGTTTGTTTGGCGCTTTTTACAAGCGTAAAAAGAATTGGATTTTTGTCAATTTTCTTTGACTTTTTAAGTGAAAATAGGTCAATGTGTATATGGATCAAGTCAAGAGCCATGTCGCAATGCCATTTCTGTGGAATTCTGGGATTTTTTTTGAGTGAAAATAGGTCGATGTGTACATGGATACCGAGTATGTGCAATTCTTAAAAACGCGCCAAGCAGTGGGTGATTCTACACTTTCCCCACCTTTTCAACCTGCTTGGCAATCAACTCTACATATGGGGGCTTAGAAAATGACCAAGGGCTGCTCAGACTGGGGTTTATCTCAGCTAATGAAGTCAGTTCCATATGTAGACTAGCTCTGCTATGCATGCAGTTCAGATTTTTCAACTCGCTGCACTATGGGGAAAAACTGGTTTTGGAGATGATGGGTCAGCTAAGTCAGTTGTCTCCATTAGCTCAGATAAACTCCAATCTGAATGGCCCTTTACTCGCTAAATGTTTAATTTCCATAGCTTGAATTTTTTAACCTAAGGCAATGCAGTGGGCACTACATCTATTAATTCTTAAATTGTCCTAACTTGGAAACTAAATTTAATACAAGCTAAAAAGTGTACTGTGCTAGGGACTTGTTTCAATACAAATGGATTCAATTCACTCACAATTCAGAGTCAGGTGTGCTATTTTCAGCGATATATCAGCAAATACCAACTAAGACAAGTGTATCCAAAAATGTTACTACACAGCAAAAATATTTCCTATTGAAGTTTAAATAAAAATTCAGTTTAAAACACTGCTTAGTAAGGAAACGCATATGATATCCTTGGAGATTTTACATAACAAGCCTCTACAACAGAAACTTTATAACATACACTTCAGTCTAGATATTAATATCAAGATTTTCAAAATTGAATTTTCCCCTTAGAATTCCTAATGGCATTGCTTCATACAAAACTGAACACATGCACGAGATCAGGCTGAAAAACGGTAAAGAATAATCGGTAAGAATAAGCAATTTTAAATAAAGGTACATAGACTTTCTTTACTCACCTATTCCGTGGTCTTTACACATAGCATACAAAATGTAATTCCACAGGTACAGAACTGTTACAAGATATGGAAGCAGGCCTTTCATGTTTCTTCAAGATCAAGCTACTTTCAGTGATATTCAGTTTAAAAACGATTACTTGATATTAACAAAATCAAGAAAGTTTAACTGAAATACTTTTTATATGGTGATGAACTTCCATAATGATAAAAAGAACTCTCAATCCGTGTTGACACTACGAAATAGAGCTGGAGCAAACCGCATGTATTCGTTACTGAGTAACGGGTACATCGGTTGACTCGAAGTACCGATTCCGTACTCACGAATTCATTTCGTTACTCGCATCTGTTTGTTACTCGCATCTGTCGTACGATGCGGTTTGTTCGAGTACGAACGATGCGGGCTTATTCACAAAGCCTACAGACCGTTTCTTCTGCTCTTTGCTCCGATTGGTTAAAAGAGGTAGGGTTACAGAATCTAGTGCTTGGCGACTTTTGGTTCATCGCCTTTACAATTTGTATCTAAGCGTGGTGTACCAAAAAGTGAGCATAACCCACCGGAGAAACCGCAAAACCCAGTGGTAACAAGTGCGAGAATAATTCTCAGACTTCTAGGTCGCCGGATCTATCCCCGCTCGTAGCTTTTTATAAACTCTGCTTTATACGGATTTATTTTTATTTTAACTTTATTGAATGACTTTGTCATTATTTTTCTTTTAGCATTCGGGTACGGTGTTAAAAATTAAACGCCTTTATTTTCTCTATTTTTGTTAATGTTGATTTTTCTTATTTTTATTTACTGGTTTGTACTCTTTGTAGTAGGTACCAGTAAGCAAGATTACGATCCAAGATCCCGAAAAGCGTTTCAATAGATATAGCCCATAATGGAATAAAATATAATTTTAGTTATACTTACTCGTAAAAAGAATAGGTATCCGACACCCTTAAATGTTTACTGAATGTTTTCATTAGGTTAATTTTTTAATATTCCTTTATTTGTATAAATTAATGCGCTATGAAAATTTACACAACAGGCTCTTCCTAAGTGAAATAACGAAAAAGTGCATATGCTGTCTCGATATAAACACCTTTTCTTGTAAAACAATTACGTACTTTTAAAAGTTTAAATTCAAATACAAATAAACTATTAATAAGATCAGTAGGTTATTTAAGATATATTCCACACAATTCCTCTAAGCTTTCATTCATAAACTAAAAAAATATTGAATGAAATAAATGCTGTTTCCGTTTGTTTGCTGTTAATTACCACTCCTACAGGGCGATAACTCGCCATTCCAAATATGACCGCCAAGAAGATGTTTCCTCCAATGAAGAGCAGCCCGTAGCGAAATTGTCTGTAGGCTTTGTGAATATGCACGATGCGGTTGCTATACGAATACGAATGATGCGATTTCTATGCGAATACGAATGATGCGGTTTCTATGCGAATGCGAATGATGCGGTTGCGTTACAATGTGCTCATATTTTTCATAGATAATTTTGAATTTTTTTCGACATCGGGCAAATTCTTGTTTACATTATGTGTTTTAGTTGAAATACTATTTAGTTTAGTTGTTGATATTTAAGAAGATGAGCAATTTTGATAGCGTGAAGCGTTATTTTGTATTTGCTTTTTACTATTGCTATTTATGTTTGTAATTTGAAAATTTAGATGATTATTTATTTTTTTTTTTCTTGAGCGTGCCATAGTGAGATTTTATTGATTTGAAATATTTATATACTGCACTTAGGTATTGTTTATATAAGAATATGTAGGTTAATATAGGTTCTTTACTTCCTTGTATCAAATAAAATGGTAGTAATTATTGTAATCGAGAAAACTTTTGGGTATCATATTTTAACGGAAATATCCGTTTTTGACGATTACGGAATCCATGTGAATTATTTTTTGGGGTGACGTCTGTACGTACGAACACAATGAAGGACTCTCTCTCTCTTTTTTTTTCAAAAAAAAAACTTATTGTTAAATGTAATCCCATTTACTCTAAGCTGATACTTATGACTAATGATTATGACTCTAAGTTGATACTTGAAAGGGATTTTTTTTCGTGATGTGTAAGTACGTATGTATGCATTTTGCATAACTCAAAAACGATTAGTTATAGAACGTTGAAATTTTGTATATGGGTCCGTTATAACATCTAGATGTGCACCTCCCTTTTTATTGCAATCGGTAATACTACCAAACGTAAATATGTATATATATATCAAATAAATTATAATTAAATGTAAAGTACATATATATGTCCTATAATAAATTTAAAGTACACACACACACACAAAAATATATATATATATATATATAATAAAAGCTTTGGCTTTTATTTTATTTAATTATCACTAAATAAGTTACTTGACTTTTATTTTCGCAATCATTGGTTGTAGTCAGGACTTAATTTTTAAAATTAGAAGTGCTGGAGCTCTATGGAAGGCCATCAGGAAAGATGAATAAATAAATAAATAAATAAAAATAAAATAACTATTACAATAATAAAATAATTAGCAACTAGAATATTAAATGATTATTATTATAATTCAATAAAAATTTAAAGACAAATGAAAATTTAATTAATTCTTAAATTAATGATGAATAACTAAGTAATGAAATAAAATACCAGACATCGTCTTGTTTGGGGGCTGTGGCTAAAATTGCAATTTAAGAACTAAGCCGAGCATTAGCTAAATTTAGGCTTTTGATGAGCAAATAATGTACTGTTTACCAGAGTATAGATAGAAATTTGGTTATGTAGCCCATTCTTCTAAAACGACGTTTCGTCGCTGCCTTCCACCACCAATTCTCTTTTTTTTTTTTTTTTTTTTTCCCGGTTTCGGTTTATTCGGTTACAGCAAAGCACACTAGGGCTATTGCCCCTACGGGGAGGGAGGCCTTCGTGGAGGATTTTTTAAAGGGAACTGACTCATATGCAAGTTACACATGGGGAAAACCACGAAAACGCCCGTGCAGCTAGCCGTTAGCCGGGAATTGAACCCCGGACCGAACTATTAGTGCTCAGCGACTTTACCGCTCGAGCTCTGGTGGGCTCTTTTTTTCTTTTCATTCGCTGTTTGAAAAACGGGTGTTCACTTTACGATAAAGTAAGCACCTGTTTACTTCAATTAAAATGTGTTAGACGATATGACTCTTCCTACTTTAATCTCACTTAGCTTTTGATTTCTAATATTGATTCAATGTTTTCTGTAGACAAAGTATTCTGATTAGAATAATGGATTTCAAACATGTTCAAAAGGTGTGTGTATCTGAATATATTTAGGTTTTTATAACACAGGGCCCATTTTATTAGTTTCACATTAGTTCTAAAGCAATTGACCACAGTATCGCTGTTTTGAAAGAAAGTAAAAATGTGAGAAATGTATAATGAACATTAATATACAAGCTTTATTAAAAGTAGTCAGCCTTTTAAAACGTGACCGTCTATGCTTTTAGAGGATTTTTGGAGCTCTGTGCATTTGCTCTGGCATCTTAAAAAAGTGATGTTCAATATCAACGTATGTTTATGTTCTCAAAAATACAGGTTTCTTTCAGAAAGCGACCTCTTAGAAGTCGTCAATAAATGATTCAGTATAGTTATTTTCTAATAGACCATAGAATAAATTTATTTTAACGTCAATTTAAAAATGGCTGCTTGTACTAAGAGTTAAGAGCAATAAGACTCTAACTCTAATTTTTCTTTCGCAATTAGCTATCATGCCAGCTGAATTGTTTTCTGCATAATCTTTATTGTGTATAATTGAAATATTTAGCTATGCATTCAACAAATATACAACAAATGTAAGACAAATCATTAAAAAAATTAAAATTTGGAACATTAATAATAATTTTTTGTTATACATAAAATATTATTAATGAATGATGAATTTATATCATATTATATATAAATCAAAATTTAAACTCCTATTCCTTTATAATAAATTGAAGAAAAGCTATAAAGTGAATTAATTTTTAAAAACAAAACGAAAATTAAAAAAAAAAATTTTTTTGTCATATACCTAGAATCTAAAAATGACGAATACTGAATTTTACGACTCATGTGTGTATGCGTGTATTTAATTATGGCAAAGCACACTAGGGCTATCTGCCTAAGGGGGATGCCTTCGTGGAGGACTTTCTAAGGGAAACTGGCTCGTATACACGTTACACATGGGGAAAACCACGAAAACACCCATGTAGCCGGACCGTTCGCGGGATTCGAACCTCGGACCGAACTACCAGTGTTCAGCGACTTTACCGCTCGGCCGCTGGTGGGCCGTTTTACGACTCATATAATAATAAATGCATATTCATATTGTAACAGAAATTTTGTTAGAAGTCTAGCATATGTATAGTTATTTGTGATCTTTTAAAACTGTCGTAACATGATGCATATTTATCATTATCGTGAACCAAAACAGTATGCTTTACATCCTTACAAATATACGTGATAGATTTTAATATTTATTTCTGCATATATTTACGTTTCCCAAAGACACGAAAGCAAGTCAAGCAGACTTAAGTTCTCTGTTAGCTAGTGTAACATAATTTCAGATTCTATGAGCCTTCCAGAATTATTAGCAAAATAGTGGAAATGTCTTTACAAAGTGTTTTTATAAGCAAACAGCAGATGTACACTGAGCAGTGATCAACTGATATATTTCTTAAATGATTTGGTTTAGTTGATTATGACAAAACACACTGGGGCTATGTGCCTAAGAGGAAAAATGCCTTCGTAGAGCACTTTCTTAGGAAAAGCTTAGGTATGGTATGCTGGCTCGTATGGTACTGGCTGGTAAGCTCGTATGGTACGTGGTAAGCTGGCTTGTAAGCTGGTACGGGAAAAAAAACCAAAAACGCTTATGAAGCCAAGCCCGTTTGCCTGAGATCGAACTCAGGTCGGAACTACCAGTGTTCAGCGATTTTACCGCTCGACCGCTGGTGGGCCATTTCTTAAATGAATAAAGGTATACTCATAGCATTATGAAATAACACTGATTGAAATATTTAGTGCTTCACTATTATCTCTAATAAAGTAACATAAAAACTTTCCTTACCTTTTATAGATTTCTAAATTTCTTTTAAGTTCTTTCTTAATTCGTACTTAACCTATACATTGTGCGAATGTTTTTATCGATTTATTGTTAAGTGTGTAAAAAGCAAGTTGACATTTTATAATATAGCATTCCTTGTCTCAACAAATAACAGTCTCAACTAGGAGTTTTTGGAAAGGGGATGAATCGGGGAAATTTCACCCTTTCGTCATTAGCGGTTCTGATGAAGGGAATGGGGGAAGCAGCAAACGAAATAACGAATAACGGACAAA